AATGACAACTAGGGACTTAAGTCAATGAAACTTTTGAAAGTTGATAATTTCATTGAATTCAACAAAAAGTGATAAGAAAATATGAAACGAACAATGCAACTAACTATAAATGTACTTAACTACTAACTTACATATAGAACAAACGAGCTAATTAATAATCATTTTGATTATAAATCGCTAATAGAGGCCAAAAGCGATAAATTTACGGTGATATGGTAAAATCTTGTCAATGTTTCAAAGCTATCTTTATAATTACATCCAAGGCAGTTAAATGTTATGAAAATCTTTAAAGGTGCTAGGTTTAAAGCTTATTACGACAAAAGTTTTGTAGAGATTTCGTGATTGACATCACAAATTGATCTAAGTTAAACACTGATTGAGAACAAGAAAGCTCTGGACAGTTGTTTCATCTTAGTAATTAAGTTTTCACGAGTGTTTCTTCACTACTCCAGTCGGACTTTGATCTAGGACCTTCAGGTTTTTCAGCAAATTCTTAAACTTTGGACGATTATGCTGAAATCCACTGGTGTGTGTCAATTAAATTGAAATATCGCTCAGCCTAATATGGTTATAATGATCATGTGTTCACTCATGGATAATCTCGACAGGCCATTCACACAGTCCTAATGGTGCACCCCAACCTGTTTAGTTCAACCAAATCATGCACTAGGCAGTACCCACCAACGTCAATGAAAGATGACTGTGCGTTAATGTGAGTTGAATGTAGTTAGACATGTCTACCACTTGATGATGGTTTGATAGTCGAAAGTTTAGGAGATTACTAAGAGACCTGAAGATCCTGAGTCAAATTTCTGGTGAAGTTGAAGACAGGCACTGCCGAAGAGTCCCATAATGGGGTAAATCAACTATCTAGTACTTCTTGATTTCCGATGAGCATCTAACCAAGATTAGTTTGAGAAGTAAAGTATGAAAACAATAATTTAATGCGTTAACTTGCACTATGTTTACCTAGCTCATAAATGAAGCCTCATTTACTCGATTTATATAATAGTGTATACAAAACTAATGCATAGATGATCTTGAAAATCTTCTATATCATAGCCTATAATTACTGTCAATTAAATGAACTGGAAATGGGATTGTTTCCGTAAAAAGAGAATCACTGACAAATGTACATCAGGAGATTTCGTAAAGGATAGATAATGTAGCAGAGAATATATCAGAATTTATTCAACATTACCAACAACATGATAAGTGGAATTCTCTCTAACAATGATATAATCGAATAATATTTATATAATAAACATCAATAATCAATGAGCCTATACTAGTCCATATTATGTTCCCAGTAACTTTTGGAAAAGAATGTACTTTTTATGTAATATTGACTTTATTAAAAAAACTATGGTTGTAACTAGATGTTTGAAATCTTGCAAATAATTAGTAGATTTGCTTGAATAAATAATGAAAACAATCCATTCTATTGTAATCCTTTCAATTGACACATTTCTTTTTTGACAGAACACGACACAAGTATATTGAAATTCATACACGGAAATAAAAATACCATAGCTTTATACTACTAGGTAAAATAAATATATGTAATAGAATGGAAACATTTATAATAACTAACTTAATAAAACACTTTTAACCGTTGAGATCATGAGTCAATTGAAGCTAGACCACTATGGAAATTTTGAAGCACTGGAGGGCTGTTTCGTCCTACTGTGGGACTCCTCAGCAGTAGGCGTCCACGAGTCCGTCTCACGAGATTCGAAACAAGGACCTAACAGTCTCACACGCGAGCGCTTAACATTCAGACCATTGAGCCGGCTATCATCTAACGGTGTTAATGTCTAAATTCAACTAATCCACGAAATTGAGCCACACGTCAATCATTGTCATCAGTGAGTTACTATTTCACAACATACCCGGTTGAGACCAACTGGTCACTACTTCTTACTAGAACTTGATGAAATGCTTCTTGAATCTAGTCACTAATGAGCATATGTTGATTAATATCAGAATAGGTTTTTCTGGCTATTGTGGTTATTCAATAATTGAGATCATGAGTCAGTTGAAGCTAAACCACCATGGGAAACGTTTTGCTACTGGTTAATCGAATAAATGCTAAACAAGTATTACATCGACATTGCTACGTAGTTATTTGATTTTTATCAATTGAAAGTAACAAACACAATGAATTGCGTGAACTTATTTCGTATCATATACTCTGAGTTTTTTAAATACTCCATAGGAAGACATATATTAGACAGAGTTCATTCAGTGAATCCTATTACTGAACCAGGAAACCAAATACATAAAATGAGTTTATAATTTTTCTTAATTATTGACTTACAGTAATAGTCATTTTAATAGCTGAATTCATGAGTCTATTCGAGATAGATCACCATGGAAATCCTAAAAGCACTGGAAGGTCGTTTCGTCGTGGTATGGAACTCCTCAGCACTGTGCATTCACGATCCCACACAGGACCTATCAGTCTCACGCGCACGGATGAAACGGCTGTCTAGTGATTTCAGGTTTACCATAATGGTCTAGCTTCAATTGACACATGAATTAAACTATTAAATTACTATAATAACCACAAAATCCCTCTCTGATAATAGTCATTTTGCTTAAAGAATGAATCAACATAGTATGTATTGCGACAAATATACGAAGTTTGGATTCTATAAGAAAAAACAGTTTAACAGTTACACAACTCCATTTAAATAATTCCTATTATTACAAACTGTAGAATATCTAAGTTTGTGTTGACAAATGGATAACAGATATTTAGTTTGGTTACATCTATAGCCATACATCCGCAATTCTAAAGTATATTAGTAGTCTAGGTTTTTTAATGAGGAAATCAGTGAAAAACAAGTTTTCTTCATGTTCATCAAATGATTAAAATCTTATTTATAAACTAATTTGATGGGTAGAATACCACCTACCAAAATATTCTTTAGTATAAATCTCCAGGTGAATTCGAAAATTGCTTGTTTTTTTTCCATTGATAATGATGCTATTGTACTATACTTCTGCTGTGAAAAATATGTCCATTTAACAACGAATATTTATCTAAGCAATATAATTGTGTAAATTAGTGTTTTTCAATAAATATTTATCTATGTACTTTTAAAATAGGTTCCTACCTTTTATCGTTACTAGCCGTATAATCACTGTGCACATATTATTAACACTTATAATTTTATATTACTGTTTTCGATTAACTAATTTTTAGCACACAAAGTTCAGGCAAGGAATCCCTTCTCTATTGAGATAATTAACCGACCCATGTTAGACCACCATTGAAAACCTGGAATCACTGATGTTTTATTGAAGGATAATAAGAGCTCCATATGTGAATCTTTATCGACTGAGATGGTTGCACCACGTGGTACACATTTCTGAACACCGATTATCACGACGCGCAATGCTAAATAGTGTTGGGGATGGTTAGGAGAAAGTTGGGAGCAGCCAAACCAAAACGTGGCATCAGTCCTTAAGCATCTAGTCTGAACCATCTTAGTAGATGCAGACTGCTTGATTAGGGTCCGCGTGAATATCGTAACCAATGGTTGGAGACTCTTGGTGACATGGTTCAGGATAGATCACAATGGCGTCGATGTATACATTCGCTGTCTTCCCTTAAACTATGAGATTAGAATCGCTTCATATCTTTCCACTAACTAATTCTTTCTTATTGTACTATGTCCTTATATGCAATCTTTGTTTTATATGTTTCCACCAATGAATTAACTACTTCTATGAATCCGGTATTTATGTTGTCGTTCTAATGAGGTATGGCAACTCGGATCGATGCATATATGTGCCTGGTCTGACTGAATGACTGAAGAGCTCCGTGATTAAACCATCCATCTCAGACAGTAGAACTCCATTAAAACCATCCACTTAAACTGTAAATCTTTCTCAATGTCTCAATAAAAATAATAATCCATTACCCTTATCTTTATACACTTTTCGCTGGTTCTACAATTTAAATAAATTTCGAATAAATATAAACTGATCATTGTTTGACTAGACGAATTTACATTTATTCTTAATTCAATAATTGCAGTTTAATATCAGAAGGGTTTTTGTGGATATTATAATAATTTCAATGGTTGAGATTATGAGTCGATTAAAGCTAGACTACCATGGAAGAGCTGGAGTCACGGCCGTTTCGTCCTATTGTGGGACTTCTCAGCAGTGTGCATTCATGATCCCGCCTCGTGAGGCTTGAACCCAGAACCTAACGGTCTAACGCGCAAGCGTCTAACCACTAGACCACCGAGCCGGCATCCAGCGTCTATTGTGATATAGTAACTCACTAAAGGCAATGGTGGAAATGTGGTTCAATTTCGTGGATTGTTTGAAGTCAGACATTAACACCGTTGGATAACAGCTCAATGGTCTAGTGGTTAAGCATTCGCGCGCGAGACTGATAGATCCTGGGTTCGATTCTCGCGAGTTATGATCGTGAATTTACACTGCTGAGGAGTTCAGTACTTTCAAGTTTTCCATGGTAATCTAACTTCGAGTGACTCATGATCTCAACCATTCAAATTATAGTTTACTTTGAAAAAAAGGCTAATCAAATCTTCAAAGTTAAATGAATAAAAGTCATTTGATGTTGTACACTTATCTATGTGTATATATGTGAACAATAGTAGTTTTTTGTTTGTTCTGTTTAATAATAAGTTACATCCACATACAAATCTTTTCTTTAAAATATGAATGATATAAAATAAAAATAATGAATGAATTCTAAATAGAGAGAAAGACTTTCTTACATAATGTAATGTCAATAAACAGATATGTACATATAGAGATGAAGAAAAGATATTGTCTAATGCGTTCCCATAGATAGATAGATAGATAAATTCATACGACCAAGATAAAAGTGAAATTACAAATATAGATACATTTACACTTGCACTCATTATATATATATATATATATATATATATATATATATATATATATATATATATATATATATATATATATATATATATGGTTAGATAATATTAACTTGTATTCGTTGAACTGAACTGTAGAATTTGTTCACGTAGTACACCAATTTCTTCACGGTAATTTTTAGTTATATTCATCTAGGATAAAATAATTGGGAAGAAGAAAATATGAAAAAAAACTAGTACTGCAATAGAATAATATAATATTCAATTGTCAATCACCATGAGACTGAAATCAAAATTTATTCATATAGAAAAATTATCTTCATTTTGTGTTGTTTGCTTGAATCTTCTTATTGATGTTTAGGACTGCAATTGTGTTATATTTGGTCGTCGCAATTGTTATATCTGGTCGTCGCTGATTGTTGTGCCGGAAAAACTCTGATCACTTATACTCGGAACGAGGGTTCTCTGCAATTCGCACGATGCGAAAGTAAGAACACAAAGACTGGTATAAGTGAAGATTTATTAGCCCCAAAACACTATGACGACGGCGATGATGATAATGATAATGAATAACAATAGTCTCAAATACACTGGTTTATATATTGATTGTACATCCATTTTGATTAATAATTAGGATTTAATCAGATACTCAGTCATAATAAATCACATACTGAGTATAGTTCATGTCAACTGAATACAAGAATACCGTATATTATACAGAAGAAAATATCATACTGGGAAAACAAATCAAATACTACACTGAATGATCTTCACGTTGAATCAAAACGGATGTCAATGTTGAATAAAGCTCATAATGAGTAATTCAATCAAAAGTTGACTTTTCTTTCCATCATATCAAATTGATCAGTCTCTTATTGTCATATATGCATTCTGTGCGCATTGTCTCGATATTGCTTCAAGTCACAGGGATTATAAACAAAGATAGATGGAGGCTAGTAGTGGAATTTTGTACGTACGTTCCGTCCTATTTGAGACTCGTCAGCTAGATATACCTGCATTCTAGAGTTGATGTTCACTCTGGGACTCGATGCAAACACATCTAGCCGACGAGTCTCAGACAGGACGAAACGCGCGTCCTGAATTCTATTGATAGTCACTACCCATCTCTGCCTAGAAGAATTATCTATTGTTTTAGTTGAAATATCACCACATCAAATGTGATTGATAAAGTATGAAAACTAAAATTATGGTTAAAGTAATAACATTGTCAATCCATCCAATAAATTTCAAAGGTATATTCAGAAATGATGACGTTCTTTAGAATTATATAAAATTCTAGTTTTCATCGTTTAGACAAAATTTATTATTCCATAGAAAACATTTCACTAAAACTATTTATGACATTTGGAAGAAAATCTTTATTTTAATTTTTGTCTAACTCCGCCTGGAGCCCTTCTAGGGCTACTGCCGGTCCAATGTCTGAATAAAAGAGGAGGATTATATAAGAGGTTAGCGACCTCATCCCATAGGAAACCAATTCGCTAAAAAGAACACTAACCAGAAGAAGTAATCCATTTATTTTTGTTTGTGCATTATACTAAATTAAGGGAATTACAAATTAAATGCATTTAGTTAATTTCTTATTAGAAGTAACCAACATACTATTAATAGTATACTTAATCTGTTATAAAAAGAATATGATACGCTTACTAATATTGTTTCCCATCGGTCTGCAAATTGATCTATCGTTTCTACAAGTTGATTTGTTTCATTCCTGTTTTTTTTTAAAAATTAATTGATGGGAGTGATAGAAATAGAAATACAAGAAATACTCATAGAATTAAGTAAATCGATGGAAAAAAAAGAAACACACTTCGACATATAACGATAAAACTGATCTATCTATTGAAGGTCAAATCAGAGGAGTAGAAAGTTCAAAATTCTTTGATAATAAATCTTAAGATTTATGATGCCTACATAAAACATACACTCTTCTCTTATTTATAATGGTAATAAGCGATAAAGGTGATATGGTTCTAGTGCATATATATACCGGCTGATCAAACGAATAGTTGTCCACATTTTAGATTCTTGTTGATAAATTATCTTATTAGAAATTCATTAATTTTCACTTTTGATCGTGCTCTTATTAGTGCGAATAATTTTTGGTAGATGAAAAACTTGTTTTATTTGAAGCTATCATCAAATAAACTGATGAATATTCTTGAAGGAATCTGTTTAAGAATACAAGAATACTTATAAGATATGCAATAGTACTAGTCGCACGAGGATTGGAAAGAGTGATCACAGATAATCGTGGGTCAGGTTTATCTGTTCCACAAGAGTTTGTATTTTAAAGTTAATAGTTTCGGTTGATTCTTCTCAGTACTTAGCAAAACAAAGGTTCGTTTACATATGAAATCAAGTGTGTAATATTCAGCTAAAACGTAAAGCATCTAAGAAGAGTTTTGGAATCCCCCGCAGTCTCCCCGGAGCCAACTGACTTACACATCTGCTCAGAATCAATAATTATCCAGAAATCTTGCTTATAAATGCAGTCATTAATTGTCCTAACTTTGTCACTTTTCAAATGAGCTAGTTTACAATTTATTTTAGTAAAGTACCATCATATTAATTGTTGGAGACTAGCATCTTGACGCTTAAACTTCTTAGTAGCTCATTATGTCTGTCATTCATATTTGAAGCATTACAATATTTCATGTAAATCTGAAGCCCAGATATTCTATCGACGCTGGAAAATTGAGAGCCGTATTATTTACGTTTATGACTTAATAACTGATTGTTCAAACACTCTGAACTCAAGGATACCTAATTAAGGTCTCATATACACCAAGATTTCGTTCCTTTAGGCAGGGATTATCGGAGGTGATTTTGTTGGCAGTATTCAGTGAATACTAGGTAAAGACTCTGAAAGTGGATAGGGTATACATTGTAGAAACCACCAAACCGCATCACGATGTAATAGCGAACTTAGAATCCTGAAGGGAAAAGAGAAAAGACCAAGGAACACATTGCGTCAGCAGTCGGAAGCACACTCCAAAAGAATGAATAACGAACTGAAAGGATTGTCTAGGACAGAGTTCTATAGAGAATGGAGGTAGAAGGCTTATGCTCCTCGCCGATGGGAAACCGGCGCAGGTAAATATATAAGGAATTCAGTATATATGAGGTTTGATATTATGAACACAAGGTTTCATGGATTTTTCTGAACCAAAAGATTGCACTGCAAGACGTTACTTATAAAATGGTTTTCAAAGTGTAAAATGGGTGACAAGTTTAATGTAAAATACAATGTAATACAACACAAAGCTTCAAGGATTTCAGTGATCACCTTTTAACTATTCCTTCAATCTTATAAATGTAATCAACGAAACTAAAAAGATTCCCTATGCATAGTGAAACTCTGAGTATAAGCGAAGTAAAATCTTAAAAAATTATTAAAAACAGACTTTGTAAATAGGATTGGATTAAAATTAAAAAGACTACTCACTTTCCACCAGTATGTCTTGATTTCCATTGTGCAAGTATACCAGAATTAATTGTTGTTTGTTGACTTTGTGAATCGTTTTCATTATTAAATAACATTGACAAATTCCTTATTGTCCCAGATGATGGTACTTCTAATTTGACTGAAGCATTTTCATGTACACCTTTTAAATTTAGACTAGAGTTTTAATATAAAATTTTAATTACCAGATGAAATGAATGGTTTACATAAATTATTAGATAAGATTGGAGACTTTTTCCCATGCAGATGTGCTTGTTGACGTACACGTGTTTCACAAAGGCGTCTTGTTGCATGTTTTCTTATTACTGCCTATAAAGTACAGAATAAAAATATTTTCACTTAGATATTATATATATGTATATACGGAATAGTAATTTATTATGAAAAATCTAACCAATAAAATACATAAAAATGCATTTTCTTTCATTTATACTGTAGTGCAGGAGAACACAGGTGACGATATCCGAATTGTATTTAGCACAAAATTACAGAGTTACTTGGTAAAATGGAAAAACCGTACTATAATAATTAGTTTGCAAAATGTTCAATAATTGTCTCGAACTTCGTTGCTCTTGCATTTCCATGTTAATTGCTTTCTATTCCCGCTTTTTCTTTCCTGATCTTCCCCGTCTTCTACTGCCAGACATTAAATTCCTGACTCACGTTATATACTACTTATATCAATATAAGTAGCACGCACCACAATACTACATAGCAATATTAATTGAATATAAGTCAGTGTATATTGACCCAAACTACTGTTTCATTCTTATAACCATAAGCTCAAGTGACCATAGTGTAAAAAGTATGTTACGTCATGAAATTCGGTTAGAAAGATTCTTGAGAAGTATTCTATATTATTCTTTTACTACATATACCATATGAAAACATAAAAATGTACTGAATAATGTTGGATTAAGTGTTTATTAATGTCGACTAATTGGAAGATCATACAAAAACATGTTTACTCTTACATGTGTACATAAAATTAGGTTAACACTGAGTTTATAAATATTAGCCATTTCAAATTAATTAGGTCTATGGTAAATTTTTATGATCATATCTCGAGAAACAGAATATTGAACTCCTGACAGTTTGTATGGTCCATTTTTATGAAATATTCCACTTGTATAAGATTATAACATAATCGCAGTGTGTATTCACTTACACAAGTAGAGTAATTTACAAAATGATATGCTTCATTAAGGGGCAATGTTAACGAAAAAGAACACTAAGATTATAGTATCCTATCTTTGTTTAAGCTTAATCATAACGATTTATTTAAGTTAAACCATTCCTTTTGTTGTAATCCAATGAATAGAAAAATTGTATTTCTGACGTTACATGACTTGATGTAAGCCGCTTATTCAGAGTATTAATTTGTTTTTACTCTGAAGAAGTGGCTTACATCAAGTCACGAAACATTAACTCCCTACTTAATTCTCAATTTATTTGAAACTATGAAGTCTAACCCTGGTAGTGATACCATTTCTAATAACAATCTGGTATGTATTAACTTGAAAGAGTCACCTACTATGATTTAAAAGACAGTAAATAATATGAAATCATCTACTGTAATGAGTGATTAATTAGTATACATTATATTTAGTTATTCTATTTTTCAGCTACATTCCTTGTTTGAGAAAAAAACAGGGATTTTTGTGATATCCATTGTAAGCTATAAGTTGAAGCATTTTGATTGCATCTAGTATTGCAATTTTGGCAATGTTACTATATTTATCTATTAAGTCTTAAGGAAACTGACCTGACCGTTGTAATGATTCACACTTAATGAAAATGTGAATGGTCAAGTCATCTTAACAACAGGTTAGGATTATTTGGAACTCTCGAAGCAATGAAATAATGAAATAATCTGAACTATTTTTAGTAAGTTTATTGATGAAAGCAAGTGTTACAGTAATGTATAGTAAAGTCATAGCAATTTTAATTTTGATTATAAACAAAAATCCCAATTCATGACTATTGAAAGGTATTATTTGGTAAAACAGGAAGTAGATATGGGTGATACAAAGGAAACGATTATCATTTTATAGTTAGAATAATAATAATAATTTGGTTAGCATATGATTTAATAGGCCACCTTTGGTATAACTCTATAAGTTATACCACATGGGAAATATTGACATACATCTAAAGTATATGCGTTTGTAAAACTTGATGAGTTTCTCAACTAAATTTGAAACTCAGGAAACATATCTTAGGTATTAAAATCGGAAGTATTTATACGCTTTACTTTCTGTCTGTAAATTATAGGTTTGGTGTGTATTGTTCATAAATTCTACTAGATTATTTCTGTTTTATGAATTGTATACATTCTCTTTAAGTCATTCTGTCTGTCTAAACTTCTTTACTACTACTGATACTTTGACAGTGTTCACCTCTTTGAGATTTATCATCATAATTTAGTTTCATTAAGGTAAGATGGTGTAGAAACTGGAACTAAAATACATGTGCCATGTCCTGCATTACATATGATTGATTGTATGTTATCTTCTTATAAATGACTCAGAACAGTTGTCTTATTGATATGTTCAAAGCATTTTGATCAAATCTTTTGTATTATTTTTCAGAATATTACATCAAGTCAGTGAAAATTTAACTACTATGAAAAAGTAGTTCGTTATATCCAGTTGAGCTGTTTTACTAATGATCAACTTCTCTTACAAATAATAAACATTAAATGAATATCTCACTCATAAGGTTTATATTTACACAGATTGTCTACTCTCAGTATTTGGGAAACAATATATTCCGCCATCATTTTGAGATTAAAAGATAAACTACGTGTAGCTATGTTACTTGGTTTAGAGTTACTATTTTGTTACATTTGCTATAATATAGACATATAACTATGGAACTTTTGAAGTTTGTTTCAATAGTTTTATAGACCACATTATTATACAGTTGAAAACTATACAAATGAAATCAGTTATAACTAATAATTCACACACATACACACAAACATTAAAATCATTACATTTGCGTGTACCAATCAATTAAAAAAAGATTGCTAGTTTTACTCACTCATACCTCAGCGTCTGGATGATCTTTCAATGCTTTTAAAATATCTTCTCGAGACAATACAAATAGTTCAGCATAACCAACAGCACGTACATCAGCTGTTCGTCTAAGTAAAATGAAAATAGAATTATGAAATGCATTCAAGTGTAGTATAGCACATTAAATCTTACTTAAATATATGATAGTTTAACTGTGAAATTTTATTTATATTTTACTAAGTATTTTCACAATTGAATTCACGAATCAATATAAGCTAGATCACCACTGAAAACTTGTAAGCACTGGACAGCCGTTTCGTCGTTGTGTGGGACTCCTCAACAATGCATATCCGCGATCTTGCGTGCGGGGCTTGAACCCAGGACAATCAGTCTCACGGGCAAACCCTTAACATCTAGACCACCGATAATAGATGCAGAGTTGTGCATGATCATAGATCGATTCTAATTACACATTAACACCGTTCGATACTAACTCAGTGATCTAGAAGTTAAGCATTCGCGCGTGAGACCGAAATTCTTGGGTGTGAGTCCTACATGCGAGATCGTTAATGCACACTGTCGAGAAGCCCCATACTAGGATGAGACGACCATCTAGTGCTTCCAGGTTTACATTAGTGATCTAGCTTAGATCAACTAGTGAATTCAATCATAATTCTCAGTTAGAATCAATTGAATATGAGTTCATCACATGGTAAAATAACATAAATAATTAAGAATGTTGAATGTATTCCACTTAGATCCAATTAGACTTTTATTAATTAAACGATAATGAATTCTGTAGATGTGATACTAAGTGTTCTTTAATACTTTCCAGTTAAAATTTAATGTAATTCATTGCTTAATGTCTTGTATTTGTAGCTAATTTCAGTACCTTATTTGTTAAACAAACAAGAAAAAAGAAAGGATAGTTATCATTTATCTTACATAAATATCTTTTTATTCATATTGTTTATACAATGAAAAAAAGTTAAATTCATTGGGGTTATTAAACAGTTGTCTAAGAATATAAGAACATTATAACCAAGATAAATAAGAGTTCCTGCTTAAAGCTTTTATTGTTTAAACATAAAACACAATGTCTTTTTTACTGAATGGAATAAAAATTTAAAAGAATTAAAAGAACAAATATTTCTATCCGACAAAACTATTTACTTAAGCTATATGTTCGTATTTATAATTGTTTGGTAAATATGAATAGGGTTTTGGATTAGAATTTGACGGGGCGAGATCGTGGATGCTCACTGCTGAGAAGTCTCACACTAGGATGAAAAAATAGTCTAGTGTTTCCAGGTTTTCCATGGTGGTCCAGCTTCGACTGACTTATCAACTCAACTATTAAACATGAAAAACTTGAATAAATGAATTTCGAAATCTCTGGGAAAAGATTTATATTGTGTTCTCGATGCGGTATACCATTCATGGATATGTTAAATATAGATTTCTGCTCTGAGTTACATCAATAAGTTCATTTGCAATTGTGAGGCAGGCTAGATTGATCCATCCTGAGCGAACACTGTCTAAACATATTTCAGAACATTACTAGGCATGGTTTTTAAAATAGCAATACAACACTATCACCGGCTCATCATTTCTGGGCACATTGCTCCGATGGAATCGTTCTTTACAGTAATATTCACATTCAAAAGAAGTAGATCAAAGGGAAATCGTATCAACATCTTGTGTATTGCTAAAGTATTAGAAATTAAACGATCCGAAACCAAGTTGTGCGTGCAAATGAAATATGTCCAACCTTTCATCCTTATAACCTCTCGATTATAATGCAACCTTCTTTCGATATTCCAAATCTCAGATAACTTTATTATGTAATCTCTTCTTTTCTTCTATAGGCTAATACATTTATCATACAAAGGTGTGAACCATTTCATGTTAAACTAAGAATGATTTGTCCCCTAAAATAATTTTAAGAAGATTGAAATTTGACTGTTGATATGTTATTTATTTAGCAAAATACTGATCTGTTATATATTAACCGTGTGTACGAAATGCACCTCTCCCCGATATGTTTATCATTCATTTTCATAGGCTACTAAATATTTTAAAATCCCACCACTCCATCGAACTAACATTGAATTAAATAAGCTAGAAGCACTGGACGGCCGTTTCGTCCTAGTATGGGACTCATGAATTCAAATATTAAAATTACTACAATCTCCATGAACCCCATTCTGATAATGTGAATCAAGATCATTTTTCCAATAAATTTGCTTCAGGTTCGATAAATGACTGAGAATGATTAATTCATGCCGTCAGTATGATCAGTTTATACTGCATGTAACGGTATTGAGCTATTCACCATCTCCACTACACCTCTGATTATATATACTGAAAGGTATCCGCAGGTATGAAAGGCGTTTAGTTCCTCTTCAAACGTTTCCATAGAATATAAATTACATATTCTATAACTAAAGATCTTGATAAAGTTTATTTTGTACTGTATAGGTACAAAGTTAAAAAAATATGTACTTACCTGTTCAGTCACTTTTCACATTTAATTCTCTTCTTATTGACCAACTTGCTATTTTTACTAGAAGATTACCCAAAAATCGAATCCTACCCTCAAATTCCTATTTAGATCTAAACTTAGTGTATGGAGTCTTCTTTCCTGAAATTTTCGAAAAGAAGACTCCCTACACAAATTAATAAGGGGTTATATAAACTTGTTAACCTCAAGTGCAAAATTATATTGGAACGAGTGAAACTGGATTTTTATAAATCTTGATTGTCAAGTCAAATATTTCAGAATCAGTTATGTAAGAATCTTCGGCCAACAAAATATTTCAAATCTTATTCGACTGAGAAAATTCTATGTAGACAAATGTCGTGTTAAGTTGATCAAGTTAATTGAATTACATACTTAAGCATTACCTATAACAAGAGAAATGTCTATTGTTTGCCATATTAAATTCATCAATTTTTGTAGTACTGTTATTTTGAAAATGAAAGAAGGGATCAGAAATAAGCTGGAAAAGTCTTGCTGTAATAATAATATTCATTTGCCTTCTTTCTCAATCAATTCTGATAAATATGTCATTAATTTATTCTCCATTGTATGGTCCATTTATGAAAAGGAGGCATATTCTCTGAGTTTCTTATTTTTCTGTTCCTACAACACAAATCTCTGAAGTAACAATCAATATCCGATTTGAAAACCTCTATGATCGATTGAGTACTTTAGCCTATTCATCCTTTGAGAATCAAATTTGGTTTAAAGCTAAACAAGTGGATATAGAGCACCAGTTTCATTCTTCTGAATCAAAACACAGAAGCATATTAACTTCACAGCACTTCAAGTCATTAAAAAAATTGCTAAATAATGCCGATATTATAATAGTTAAACCTGATATAGGATATGGTGTTGTTATTACGAATAAATCCAGTTACAAAAATCAAATGTAACCCATCCTCAGTGATAAAAACAAATTTCTGGCTAATGTTGACTCCGATGGATTAGAAACCAAAGTAAACTCGAATCTAATGATATTCTTAAACAGGAATGCTATTTACAAAGATGTGTTTCGTTTATTAAAACCTATGGGTTTGCTTTATCCTAATTTATATGGAGTACCGAAAATCCATAAGCCTAATACCCCCTTACGTTCAATTCTATCAATGTGTCGATCACCTACACACAACCTTGCAAAATGGCTAACAAAAGTACTAAACCATATCCGAAATCACTTTTGTAGGTATTCCTTGATTGAATCATTTGGATTGATTTAGTGGATGTGAATATAAAAAGAAAGACAATGTTCTCCTTTGATGTGAACACTTTAAATTACAAATGTACCTCTTAGGAAAACTATTGATATTTTATGTGACTATATGTCATTGAATAACCTTCCATTGCCATTTCTTGTTAAATCTTTCAAAGATTTATTATCATTGTTTACTGACAACGTAAAATTCACTTTTGAGGGTGAGCACTTTCGACAAATCAATGGCGTAGCTGTGGGTAGCCCTTTAGGACGGTTGCTGGTTAATGTGTTTATGGGATATGTTAAAAATCTAGCTGAAGTCTCAATTCGATAGATGTGTCTGTATAAACGGTACGTTGATGAAATAATTATCATACGGAACAAACATGAAGATGTGAACTGCTTGCTAAAAGAGCTCAACACAAATCAAAAGCATATTCCTCTTACATGTGAGGAAAAGAAGAATAAACAACATTTTTTCTAGACATATTGATTATTCGGAAAGATGATGGTCCCATCAAATGTTCTGTATATAGAAAGCCGACACGGACAGGGAAATATCTTAATTTTTATAGTCACTGTCCAATTCATTACAAACGTGGATTGATAAAAAGCTTATTCAATAGAATCAATCATACTTGTACTCGAGATACTATTGAAGTAAAGACGAAGCTCATGACTGAAACAATAATGAATTGCAGTTATTTGTTGAAATTTATACGATAAGATCTATGACGCTTCTGGCACTCAAAAAGCAAGTTTACATTATAATGCCATTCAGAGGCGATTGAAATAGTTTCATTTTGAAACGGAGACTTAAATTAGCCATCTACAGGACGTTTCAACTTTATCCATTTATGTACAGGATTTGCCGTTGAACTTGAAATTCACATTCGCGACACAATTCAGAAATATCTCCTGTATGCCAATAATCGGAGCCGCAGTTTCTGAATCGTTCACATATTTATTCTACAGTCTGTACGAATGTGACATCTTTGACTGATGATGTCACATCGAAAGACAACCTTTTATTCCATAATAATGAGATTTTGGTCTCATCAGCAAATTGCAAAACATCCCAAACATTATGCTGTACAAGTTTATTATGAAATGATTTCGTCAATGTATTTGCCGACAATATAACTAACAGTTCATAAATAACATTGTAAACAGGAACAGGAATTGCTTGAATGACATATACGAAAACAGTTTCCTTATAGTTAGAGTACAGTGTGATTTTCCAATTGAATAACTACTGACGAATAAATACTTGTCGATTCAAATAAAAAGAATAATACATAATAGACAAATATGGATTTCATTGATTGGTTGAAGTTAGACACTAACACCGTTGGATGTCGGCCGGCTCAGTGGTTTAATGGTTAGGTGCTTTCACGCGAGACTGATAGGTCCTGGGTTCAAATCTCGCGGGGGGGATCACACTGCTGAGGAGTCCCATACTAGAACGAAACGGTCGTCCAGTAATTCCAGAAAGAAAATAATGATTATCGTAATAAATGATTACAAAATAATCTTATAGTTTCACGATGAAATTTAATTTCAGTTTTTCTAAATGTTTATTAATTAACTTACTTATTTACTCCATCCACATTCAGTACTCCAATTTCACCAAAGAAATCACCAGCACTCATCTTTGATAGAACTTCATTAGAATCACTAAGGAAATAATAATAATAATAATAATAATAATAATAATAATAAAACTTTGATAATCTTATTAAGTCATAGATTTAAATATTATGAATCTAATTCTGTCACATATTTCAGAAGAAAGATTTTTGTTTAAAGAATAAAAGATTATGCTCACACTGAAGATGGATTTATACTTGAATGGATTGAATTGATAGCTTCATTATTTTTAGTTATATAATTTCTATTTAATGGAGAAAGAGATGGCTTGGTAGATATAGTGGTCAATTTCATGCACTGAGTCATAGATTTGAATTCTTCTCAGCCTACATCAGTTTGTGTAAATGATTAATACTGCTAATGATCATACATAGAATGTGGCTCTAAGCCAAATACTGGAATTCGTACCGAATAATTGAGTGACCAAATAAAAACAAAACGATTTATCTGATAGTGATTAATTACCAAAATCGTCAACAAATTTGTAACTCAATAGATGACCGACTGTAACAGGTTAAGTTATTTATCCTACTCAACTGATAATTTTTTTTCAACTCATGGATTTCTTTTGTAAATGTAATACCGATATCTCATACATAATATTCACTAGTAGCTATAATCAGAAGTGTAAACTACTCCAGTTGAGTCATAATTATAAACTCTATTAAAAAGTACACAATACTAATTTTATAAATTAGTACTCATTAAATGATAATGACAGTTCTCGAATTTCTCGTCATCTTGGATTAGAAAATTGTTCGCAGTATGGTTTTCAAATACTCAAACTCTATATCTTGTTTCAAAGAAGAACATATATAAACAAGAAATAGACTATCAAACAGCTTAAGGTAGAGCTAATAATTTCGAATTTCTGTTTTATACTACTGAATAATAAACTTGAATATCTTCAGTTAACTCACCTTAAAACTTCAAGTACACCATCTGCAATGATAAATATTTCACGTGCTATTTCACCTTTACGACATATTAAATCACCCGGTGTGAAAACCAGTGGACGCATTTTCAAAACAATATCATGTAAAAATTCTGGTCTACATTCATGAAAAATAGTTACCTATGACAGAAAAAAGTGTCAAATGTTTATATAATGATTATTTGATCAATACTAAGACGATCTTTTATATCTAAGACTAAACATTCAGACAGCTGAATAAGAGTGAAACAACACAAAACATGTTTCACACTTGTTTTTAATGTCTCAGAAAACTTCAGAAATCCTGATTAAGGATTAGAGTTTGTGGAAATAGTCAGGACTGTTAGAAATACTGATTGTTATGAGAGCATTTCTATTGTAGAATGGTTATGATTAGATTCAGCAATGTGAATATTATGCATTGATATGGGATGATGAATTTATGTAAAATAGTTTGATTATGTTTCGGTTTGGCTGGTATCAAACACATTTCCTGAAAACATTGATTTTCTTCCATGTGATATTTTGGATTCATTTATTTTTAGGGAATAATTTTGTAACTAATGTTACGCCGGTCTCGTTTCCATTCTGAATCGAATTCTGTCGATAAAGCTGTATTGTGACCATTGAGTTACTCAGTCTAGCATGAACAATGTTTCGATGTTCCGTTGCATGGAGTGATTGACAACAAGTCCTAGACGCAGTTTTGTAATAGGTAAAACTCCTTAGCACGACCTATCTACGTTGCCTCACACATTGTCACATTTAAATACATTACCAGTTAGCTATTTTGGACGTAGGATTGAGTCATGTAAACTGGTTAATCGACATAAAGCCATTCAAACTAATGGTCACATTCCGACCTAATAGACTGAATTCCATCAGCGCTGATGACTATAAAAGCATATCACTTACTAAGATATAATGATTAGTCATTTGTATTATCTCAGTCCAACATAAAATCAGACATTGTCTGTTAGGGTGACACCACCGGCTATGGCACTAAATAATGCGGAGGATAACTAGTGTCTTGAAGCTTTTGAATATACCTTGGTTACTATTACCTATAAACAAAAAAGCCTATATCTTTGAACTTCTCACTAACTACCTACAACCATCTGACAACGGACAATTCAATGTCTAATAAATAATAACGTAACAATTCTTATTATTACTTAACTTTTACAGTCAAGTACGTAATTACCTCGTAAGTATTTCTGATGGAATCAGTAAAATCTAAATTGGACCTACAAAAAGTACCATTCTGTTATTATCTTTATTATTGTAATCTTATTAATTAGTAATATTTTAAGTGTAAAATTTACTAGAAAAAAAAGATAGAAATTACATATACATATATTGACAATAATAAGTAGTATGTTAAATAATCACAAAAATAACAATCGGTATTTATTATTAAATGAAATTACTTTTTTCAATGTTTCCAAATTCACATTAAGAGCTAATTCCGTTTTTAATTTATCTGGTAATAAACCTATTGTATTAATATCTTGACCACCACCACCGCAACCTCTAATTCATATTATCATAAAAGAAAATGAAACAATAAATCAATTAATCAATCAATCAATCAATATTATTCATTTGGCAAATATCCAAATGAAAAGTAAACAAATATTGATAATAATAAAGTTAAAATATAAACAATTATTGAATAGAATAGAAGATAATAAACAAAATAATAGTGATCATTATATTATATTATACTATACTATGAAAACTATCCGAACACATTAGTAGAGAAACCCATGAACTAGAATAATAACTATTTATGAAGTCAATGGTTCTATGGAACGTTTCCGAAGTTTTCTTTGATTTGAATGACATTCAAATATTATTCTTATAAAAAGCATAAATTGACTATAATTTCATTTAATTTTATATATTTGGAACATTCTAGAATATTTAATTGAATGGAACTTATCTCAAAATAGTTAATGAATAATAGAATAAATGTAACTATTGTTAATATTTTTCATTATCGAAATGGTTCAATCTGAATTCAATGTGTTTTACTGATTCCAAGAACTTTCAGATTGTATCATTTCATTTCTGCGACTCTCCTGGTCTTCCATATTATACGAGCATTCCATGTACCTATATTAATAGTTACTCTGGTTGTTAGAAGAGGCATCAGCTTCGTGACTTCCGAAGGAGCTCAACTTTTATGATGAGGCGTTATAACTCTTCTAAATGAAGACATTCTAATTCTCAGGGAGGAGTTTAAATGTTTTGAGTTATTTTTTCTGGTCAACGTTTTTTAGCGAGTTAGTTTTCTACCATCCTTCTTCATCTGGGCTCCAGGTAGAGTTCTTACCGAAATTACAATGAATATATTTGACGCTTTTTACTTTAATTTCCTGTTGATTGAGTTGATCATCAAGTTTTATTCAAATCATATTGATGATGAAATTGCTTTGTAATCGAATTTGAAGATTGAAATCTATAATTTATAATGATTATTCTTCATACATTATGCGATATTAGTTAATCTCATATCTACTTGTCATTAGTGACACTTATTATTCGTAGCATTATTAGTGTATCCCAATACAGAAGGTGGAACGTCTAACATAGTTTGTTTTACAAAGAAAGAATTCAGCTATTAACTATTAAATTTGATCAGCGTGTGAAAATAATGTCCTAATCGCTTAAAAGATAATCATAATTATTCGTTGGGATCCTAAAGCTCTCATGTGGTAGGCAGGATGGGACGAATAGACTAGTGAAACTAGAAAAATCATCTTTAAAATGTAGGAACTAACTGGATGAAATATATTTGTTCAGCTGTTTAAAAGGTAATTTCTTTTCATAAATGGCCTGGTAGAATTTATCATAGAAGAATGTATGATAAACATAGTATTTTAAATAATATCCTTCAGTTCAGCTCAAAATAAACAATCAAATATGTATGATCTTGGTAAACAATCTGGTCTTTTTATTTATAACTTATTATTTTCAAAATAGGTTTCATTATTGATTTGATGTTTTAGGCAAGAAGTGATCATTTCACCGTCATCAAGGTGTTACAAAATCAACTGTCATACAAGATTATATATACGTATATATTCATTGATTTGTATAACGTTTCTGGTTAGCGTTGTTGCTGATAGCCAGACACTATCGGCAACAACCTACTGTGGGAAAGAACAAATCGGATTCTGGCAGGGGAACAAATCAGGAAGAAGCGCTGGAAGTGGATAGAACACACATTGAGGAATGCACTGAACTGCGTCACAAGGCAAGTCCTGATTTGGAATCCTCAAGGAGAAAGGCGAAGAGGGAAACCAAATAACACTTTACGCCGAGAGATGGAGACAGACATTCAAAGAATGAATAACAATTGAATAGAACTATGAAGGAAGTCCCAGGACGAAGTGGGGTTGGACAATACTGGTCGCCGGCCTATGCTCCATTGTGGGTAACAGCCGTAAGTATATATATATATATATATATATATATATATATATATATATATATATATATATATATATATATATTAGGAATACTGTTTACTCACTTAGACCATGCATAATCATACCATCTTAGAATACGACTTTGTAAATCTTTATCAACTGAATTAGCCCGCATGTAACTTTTAGCGTGGTCCTAAAAAACGAAAGTTATAAAATAAAAAAAATTAAAATACAGACTAGGAATTAAGATTTATTGCCTTATTTCATGCTAATGCTTAAAACTAGTAAATGTTTCAGTCGTATTAGATTATTTTTGGGTTAGACGTTGAGAAATGAAATGAAAATCAGATTTCAATTGTTTTACAAATGATTACGTTCACCTTTATGAGGTTTTGTACAATAATTGATACTCTTTGGAATAGCATTCCTTTCACTTATCCTCTGTATTCTCAATTGCGACGTGAGAGGATTCTAGCCATCGAGTGCTCAAGTTGTACGTAGTATATAAGGAAAATATAAGCTCTAGATATAACAACTCCAATAGCCAGTCAAGTAATTTACAGTTTTGAAGCTTTTTAACTAAAAAATAGTATGTATCTACTCATTTAGATGTGAGAAATAATGTTAGATTTTGAATAACATCATCTGATAGAGAATAAGTTCATCTAGCACAAAAATACAATGTACTACTACTATACTGAACAAAAACACAAGCGGGGACAATCTAATGTATTTTTGAGAACAAAATGACAAGATCTCTTACTAAAATCTAAGAACCATACAGTAAATAATTCATTTGCAAAATATCCATCAATTATTCCACGTCAATCAGTCTCGATTCTCCATCGCTTCTTTTCTATTTTCCTAACCTTGTGCCGCAAGACATTCCACTTTTGATCGGTGATACATACTACTAATATCTATCGATATCAGTAGCATACACCACACTACTACTACGGATAATAAGCAGAATAACTGGTCATTTTCTTTCTAGCTTTTATTAATATTTCTTCCAAAAAAAATACAACCGGTCTGGAAAATATATTGTATTATATTTCTTCGTAGACTTAGTTAAGAAGTGAAACAAACATAAATTACACGATTAATTTACTTTAGTCAGATAAAATTCGTGCATGTCATCAATTAAATTACTTATAGAATAAACTATTTCTTTCAAGCTTTATAAGTAACTGACTCAGTAAAGGAATGAGAAAAGAATTTGTTTTGTATTTATTTACTTCCTTCCAAGACATAATCTCGTTTGACTCAGTACATTTTTTAGGTAAATAGGACGATTGTCAGAGATATGACTAGAATAGTAAGTACCATAAATCACGATATGTTTCTGCCACTGTCATCAATCCTACACTGAGTAATTGAATCAGAACCATTTACAAACTTAATTTTTTAAAGACAACAATATCTCGTTACAGAAAAACGATAGACGATTATTAGATAATAAGCCAAGTTTCATTAAGCATAACGATGGTGAAACAGCACAGAGTGTAATGCATGAAGTAATGTCTAAAATCACTAGTTATGCATGGTGTTCAGATCATTTAGCTGGACATTATAAAAAAGTGGAGTAGGTTTTAGTGTAACTACCTCTTAGAAATTTTTTAGTGTTATCACACCAAACACAATCACCTGATCCAAAAATCCTCCTAATCATATCAGCTTCATGTATATTTATCCCATTGTTGATTTTAATAGGGCTTATGTGTTATACTTATTTATTTGTTTATTTAAACACATAAACATTAGTACAAGAAGGTACCAAATAGATATGCACCACATAAGTCATACGATTTATGTGGGGGATGGGATACTGCATGGGTGACCAAACCGAAGCGGGTGGTCTTCCTAATGGGACACACCCTGAGCCTTTCACCTAAAGGTCTAATCCACAGGGCAGTGGAGCAACGTCAGGAGATGCAATCTCATGGTAGCCGGTGACCAATAATTGGTTTATACGCCATTTGTTTTCTTAGGATCCTGGATTCCATGTATGTTATTGGTTTGGAATCAGGGTTTTTCAACTCCCCGGTTGAAGCGTCATACACTCGTTTTTTGTCCTATCAATTTCGTAGACAACACCCCCACCACGAGAAGGCAGTGAGTAGGACTTCTCTTGCAGTAGTTGTATGCAAATGACCATGTGAGAGCATCTGTTCTAAACATTATAGCCTAGAGAAGTATTTGTAAGAGATTCACATTAACAAATTTAAATAGAATTTAAGAGCTTCTTTCATCGTTTCAAAGTACTAAAGCGTACACATGTATTTACACATTACAATACAGTTTTGAACCAAACTAGAAAGCTGTAATCATTGATTTACCAATGAAATAAAATTTTATCACCCTTGTGATCACTTGATACCATTCCATATATCTGCACTTGAAGAACCATATTTCTACAATGATATTCTCTATTGAATGCGTCTTTAATTAATACGAAGAATTCATAATTTATAGAATATTCTAAATATAGCAATCAATTTGTGGCAAAAAGAAAGCTAAATGTGTTCTTTTCTTTCTTTCAAAATCAATCACAATAAATGTGTTGTTGTTTTTGTATACTTTAGTTAAGCTGATTCTCTCCTTAATAAATACTTTTTTTCTTTTTATGAATTTACTAAAGTAAAACTATTCCTGGACACTTTGAATTAAGGCCAATATTATTGATCTCTTTTTTTTGTTTTGCTCAGTAGTTCTATCACTGTGAACAAAATTATATTAGTTAGTTTCTCATTTATTTTTATTTCTATGCGAATGAGAAATTCAGTATTAAGGTGAACTAGTTGAAATCTTCATTATGTTTATACCTTATTTCAATGTAATAATATAACTTAAGTATTTAATAAATGGTATATACATATATGTGTATATGGAAGTGTTTTGTACGATTTATAATTCTTACCAAAATTTTCTCAAACTCAATACGATCAGCATTTCTTGTTGTAATGATATTTCCTACCTGACCTGAAAGTAAACAAAAAAGAAGGAGAAGAAACTCATTAATTATTCAATAGATAAATTTAGTAATTGTTTTTTCTTCTTTGTTTTTCATATATCAAATATGTATGTATTACAGAAGCGGACCGGCAAAGCAAGAGCAGTATATTTACAATTGGAGAACATCTGATACTCAAAACAACTGTCAATCAGCACTAAAGTCAGAATTTTCAATACGAATGTCTAAACAGTTCTTATGTATGTGACGGAAACTTGGAGAACTACGAAAGCCATTATCCAGGAGATACAAGTATTTATTAACAGTTGTCTACACAAAATACTTCGGATTCGTTGGTCAGACACTATTAGCAACACCTCATTGAGAGACAGAACAAACCAGATTCCAATGGAGGTAGAAATCAAGAAGAAGCGCTAGAAGTGGATAGGACGCACATTGAAAAATCCACCAAAATGCGTCACAAGGCAAGCCGTCACTTGGAATCCTGGAGGCCAAAGGAGAGGAAGAGGAAGACCACAGAACAGATTACTCGGAAAGAATGGACACAGATGTGAGAAGAATGAACAAAAATTGGATAGAGTGGATTGGAGAATGCTGGATGGCGGCCTATGCTTCATTGGGAGTAACAGGCGAAAGTAAGTAAATACTGTATTACTGAATGTATCTAGATTGATGTACAGTTTAGAGCATCATTGCTTCAATAATGAAATAAATTAGATATCTTGATAATTAAAAGTTAACTAGTGAGATCATTTGCAGAATTTGGATCTCTGTTAAATATTTCACATCATAATTGATATGCATATATATCACTCTTTACGTAACAAAAGCAATGCAGAGAAAACAAATAAGTTTTCAATGGTTGAGATCATGAGTCAATTGAAGCTAAATGATCATGGAAAACCTAGAAGCATTGGACGGCCGTTTCGTCCTGTTGTGAGACTCCTCAGCAGCGCCTACCCACTTCAGATATTAATGAATATATGCTCACCAGTGAATGGCTTCAAGAGGTATTTCGTGGAGCTCTAGTGTGAAGCATTAACCAGTGGAGTTTAACCAGGTCTGTTGTGAGATAGTAACTCACGGAAAACAATGGAGGGTGCAGCAATTTCGTGGATTAGCTTAAGTTAAACATTAACACCGTTTGATACCGGCTTGGTGTTCTAGACGTAAAGTGTTCACGCGTGAGACCAGTATGTATTAGGTTCGAATCTCGCGATTCGGGATCGTGAATGCTCACTCCTGACGAGTCCCATACTAGGGTGAAACAGCCGTCCAGTGCTTTAAGGTTTTCCATAATAGTCTACATTCAACTGACTCATGATCTCAACTATTACAATTACAATTATATTCAAAATACCCATTTTGAGAAAATATATGTTTATACTAAATAAAAGTACTGCAATATTTCCTAGGACATTTTACCTTAAATGCTTCAAAGATTTGTAAGGTCCACTGCATTTCGTTAAAACTTATTCCATTTATAAAGCTTATTATTCTTTTTTGGTAATCATATTCCAACCAGTATTGATTAATTACACATAATTGAGAAAAACAATACATAAAATTACGTGCTTCTTTAGATAATTTTGTTAGAAATTTCGTGACTAAAAACTTAATATGAAGTAATAAATTCATGCGAGTGATTTTGTCTTAATCAATTAGATTGAACTGTATATACAGTTCGCTAAGTAGACATTAAGTAGACTAGCAAAATAAAATTCTTTGAACTCGGTATACCAATTAAGTAAACTAATATCACAGTTAAATTCATGAATCGATCTATGCCATACCACCATTGAAAATCTGGAAGTACTAGACGGTCGCCTCGTTTTAGTATGGGACTACCTCAGCAGTACACATTCATAATCCTGCATGCAAAACTTGAACTAAGAACCCTCTGTCTCGCGTGCGAACTCTTAACCTCTACACCACTGAGGCAGCATCCAATAGTGTTAATGTATAACTTCGATTAATTCATGATCTTGCTCAACCCAATATCCATTGTCTGAGGTGGTGGTTGGATATACCGTTCCCTACAATTTTGAAAACTAATAACTGAAGTGATTCAAAATATAACCTGTAATTTTGTTACTATAATTTGCCTACAGAATATATTTCATAAGTACTATATAGTCTGTTCATTTTTTTGAAATAAATAACTCAGAGAACAGTGGGCTTAAATACTTTTACACAATCATTCTTTACTGTGAATTCATTTATTTCAGAGATATTCCTTCCTAAGAAGGTTCGGACAATGTCAATCATAAGAATTACAGATTTTCTAATGTATAGATTACCTTAAAGAAATTGATAGTTTAGAACGTTACTGTAAATTAACTGATGAAGATTTTGTTGAAGACGTTCGCTTTCAGATAATGGTTACCAAAGTTCATGCAAATTTATTATTGGAAGAGTAATAATTCAAAAGAATTTATAGTTACATGTATTCTTTTTTATATTCGATTGCGTCTTCAGCTTATAGAAACATCATTTCTTATTCTATATTGAAAAGCTTACAATGTATCAGACCTTTAAAATAATCCCCATAATCTGATGTAGAACAAAATGAAATCAAATCACATTCTACTTCAATACATCAAGTAGTACAATATGACACAAGTAAAACTCAGAAACATGACAGTTTGACAAATCAACAAAACAAAGTTTACTAGTATGAGGGTTGTGGAGATCATTACGTTTTTGATTGAGATCATGAACCGATTGATGTTAGACCACCACCCTTGGAAACCTGGAAGCACTGGACGGCCATTTCGTCCTATTGTGGGACCTCAGTACAATGGAAGTTGGTCGCGCAATTTCGTGGATTGGTTGATGTTAGACACTATCACCATTGGATTCCGGCTTAGTGGTCCAGTAGGTTAAGCGTTCGCGCGCGAGACCGAAGGCCCTGAGTTCGAATCCCGTGAGCGGGATCGTGGATGCGCACTGCTGAGGAGTCCCACAATAGGACGAAACGGCCGTCCAGTGCTTCCAGGTTTCCAAGGGTGGTGGTCTAACATCAATCGGTTCATGATCTCAATCAAAAGCAAAGTTTAATGAAATTTGTTTTCTCATCTTCACAAAAGTGAACTATAAGAGATACAGTGTGTTCATGAAGGTGATTATCTAAAGTGTTCATAACTCAACATGATATAAAGAAGGAATACAATAAATAATCAGTTGACTCGATGAGTTAAGGAATTAAAAATTTGAACGTTTTCAAATTATCAAAAGTAAAATGACAGAAAATATTGATTAAATCAAAAACAAAATCTAACATGATTTGAAGGACTAACAAAATACTAATTTCTAATTGGCGATAATTATAGCAACTCACGCACAATTGAGTTTGTTCTTATTTAACTCGGTTAAGCCCTTTTGTTAACTTATTTAGCGGACAAAGTCATCCGTACTAAAACAATTTATTGTACCTTTATCATTGTCGTGCTTGTATGAAATACGTATGCTTGAACATTGCTTACCGCCTATGAATAAATTCATTCTGCTAGTTTCATTATTAGTTGCTTAGTTGATTTGATGATCTATTCATTTCCCTATATCTATACATGTACATTCAACACTCTACACTCGGTTCACTGACTCACTCATTCGCATCATTGCATTGTGGTCTGAGTTATCTGCCAATAAAACTGTATTTACTGCTTCTCTTTGCCTTCTGATCTCAAACACCGTTGAAGATTATATGATAACGGTTACGAGGATGATTGGACAACGAAGCACAGCCACTACATAATCATGATATAATAATAAAAGTTGATCAGTTCTAAATAACCTAAAACACAACATTCATTACTCCTCAATGTGTAGGTAAAAGAACTTCCAAAATCTTCTGGAATATCCATTATTTTGATTTGATAGAATTCTCATTAATCTTCCGATTTGAGTGTTAAGTAATATATATATATATATATAGGAAAACAATATTGTTATTCATTTTTGTATTAGTCGTTTGAATCTGCCAACTGATGTTTAAGACTGCAATTGATCGGTATCTTATTGGCATATGTGCATCCTGTGAAGATGGCCTTGATATTGTCTTAAGTCATAAGCATTATAATTAAAGACGGATGGTGGTTAGCAGCGGAAATCAAGACGTGCGTTTCGTCCTATTTGAGACTTGTTAGGTGGATGTACTCAATAGCCAATGATAGCCACCATCCATCTCTGCTTATATAATACTTGTAACTTAAGTCGATATCGAAGCCATACACACAAAATGCACATATACCAATAAGATACCGATCAATTGCAGTCCTAAACATCAATGGTAAGATTCAAACAACCAACACAAAAATGAATTAGACTTCACTCCATTGAATAGTCTAGTAGCTATCTGGACTCATTGGCTATATGGATAATGAGAACGGAGCGAACTGTACTGGGTTTAAGTCACGTAATGAACATCAACTCTAGGATGCAGGTACATCTACCTGACGAGTACCAAATAGCACTAATCGCGCTTCGAGGATTCTACTGATGACCACCATCTATGTTTGCTTATAATGCTTCAAACAGTATTGCGTTTTTGACCAGTATGTTTGCTGACTAGTATTTTAGTAGAAATGTCGTGATAATTATATAGTACTTATCCCGTAAGTTATCGAATATACATATATATATCATTGCATAACTTGTAACAAACATATGAAGCTATTTTTGTACACAATTAATAGATTTTCAAACATGAACATGAAAACAGTTTACATTGAGAAGAATGATTTATCTGTATGATGTTTATATATAAACATAAGTGTTCTCAGATTATGTGAAAGATTGTTTAACTTGAATCTTTTGAAAAATGTACGTAAAATTGTTGTTTTTTGTCAACTGATCGATGCAATATTCTAAGATCAAATTGTTGTTTATATTAAATAAAGTCTTCTCCTTAATCTATGGACTATGATCAGCACTTGAAAGACTGGAATTGTAGTTGTAACGTTTCAGATTTAGTATCTGGGTGACGTAGGTTAAAATAGAACAGAGATTATTAAATTCTTCAAGACATCATGTGTTCCAACTTGTATAAAGCTTAAATTTAAAGTCACTTATTGACCATTCCAAGGTAACTCAATAAATCTTCCACTGATTGTTATGCGTTATTTAATATAATACTCTGTTCATACTGATTTAGAATACTTAGCCTTTGTTAAATCTAGATCATGCAATGACAAGACATTGTTGATCGGAATATGATTCTAATATGGATTTAAAATAATATAAATTAACATGTCCCCTTATTTGTGTGAAAAGTATCTTGTTGTTTAGGAAAAAATATTACGTCAAGTATAATTATGATTGTCTGTTTTATATATTTTGAGGTAAGTAGGCATAAAAATCATTACACGATATTAAGGAGTTAATATTGTGGGACTCTTCTGCAGTGCGCATTCACGATCCCGCCTGATGAGATTTGAACTCAGGATTAATTGATCTTGAGCGCGAATGCTTAACCTCTAGACCACTAAGCCGGCATCCAACGGTGTCAATGTCTAACTTTAACTAACACACGAAATTGAGCGACATATCTACCATCGTCTTCAGTGAGTTAGTATGTATGTTGAAAAAGATATGATACTATAGAGTTATCATTCAAGTATTGTTAGAGGTACATAACACATGTCCCAGCCATCTCAACTGGTGAAGTTTTACGACTTAATCATTTGATTTGCCATCCTCACCCGGTAAATCAATTGATGAAGTAGTGGAACGTCTTTTTGTTCGCCCAAGTTCTAATATTCCGAATTCTTTATGTCCTTAACTTTTTTTCTCTTTCCAAATTTATTTCACTGGATTATACTCCTTAAATAACATCTTCAAACCCTAATGTTTCCGATTACTCCTTATACTCTTACTACATCTACGACTATGGGATTTGAATCAGCAATTTTATCTGTGTGCTAAAGTGGTATGGAAACCCGATCTGATTTGCGTACTTACGAAGTTCTACGTCTTTGATTGACTGACTGACTGACTGACTGTTGGAGGTACTTTAAATGACTAAAATAATTTAATATCTGTTTTATTTGTCTACTTAAGTGTTAGTGTAAGTAGTTTTTTTATTCAAACGTTCCAACAATCAATAAAGTAAGAAGAATATGCACTAGCTAAAAAGGATTTTTATGTATTACTATTGTTCGGTAATTTTTATCTTGAAGACTTTAGTAAAAAGGTGTGTTTTATCTTTCATTCATCATACTTCAAGTACAGGTTGATGTCTATTTTTACATAAAATCATTTTCTTTTTATATACAAATGTCAATCAACTTTCAGTCTTTTCTTTTTTGCTTTAATTGACTAAGTTTTCATTTATATCATAATGTACTTTGTGTTAACTAATTTGGAAGTAGACATCAAAAAGGTGAATAACAACTGGAAAGAATTGTCCAGGACACAGTTCGATGAAAAATGCTGTTGGGTGGTCTATAATCCTTCACAGGCGTAAGTAAGTATGAAATAGGAATATGAGAAATTGACATTGTTTTGTAATTTTCAAGTGTTTTACATAATTGCTTTCAACAATGAAGTATTTTTTTTACAAATAATTATGGACGTTTATTAATTTTTAGCGAAAGTGGGATTGTTTTCTAATCTGTTTAGTTTGAACAAATAATTGTCTGCTATTTAGTTTTAAAGGGGGATTTCAAGACAATATTGCGTAATAAAACGTGAAAAGTAATATCCTTAAACTGATGAATCTAATACCAAAATGGGTTTTGTGGAGATTTTTAGAAATTTCACAAGTTGAAATCGTGAGTCAATTGAAGCTAGACCACCATGGAAACGGCCGTTCAGTGCTTCCAGGTTTTCCATGGTGGTCTAGCTTCAATTGACTCATGATTTCAACTTGTGGAATGTAATACCGTTAGTGTTATCAATTCAATGTAGCTTGAAAACAAATAGTTGAAGTTAATTAAAGTAGACATAAGTATATGACATAGACATTATAAAAAGACCAATCAGTGTACATAAGTCAGTTGTAAACAAACACATGTAATTATGATGATGTATGAATCACGAGTTGTTGTTTTATATGAAACGTAAATTTCATAGAAATTAAATCCACTTAGTGTTGTTTACATATATCTTACAATTGTTATTTAGAACTGCAATTGATCAGTCTCTTATTGACATATGTGCTTTCTGTGCGGACTGCCTCGATATTGCCTTAGGTTAAAAACTTAATAAGTAAAGATGGATAGTGTCTAGCAGTGGGATCCTATTTCAAACTCATCAGCTGGATGTACCTACATCTCAGAGTTGATGTTCACTATGGGACTCGAACCCAGTACCGTTCGCTTCAAACGCCATCGCATTATCCACTTAGCTACTGATTTTTGATAACCACCTGCAATAGAGTGAAGTTTGAAATTCATTTGGAGTTTTGTCCCAGAGTGAACATCAACTCTGAGATGCAGGTGTATCCAGCTGACGAGTCCCAAACAGGACGAAACGCGCGCCCTGGATTCTACCGCTAGCCACTATCCATCTTTATTTCATAGGAATTGTTAATAAATAATAACCAATATGAACTCTGGAACCAAGATCATCTAGCGGTTTTCATCAATCTATGTCTGATCCATAGTTATAAAAGCGTTATCGTTTGACTTTATTTCTTGTAAACAGATATCGGGCTCAAAACACATTGAGTGAGGACAATTTTCTCAAATTGTCTTTTGGACTAAAAAGGATGGTAGATGTACGAATTGTGTTACTGGTAAAATTTCATTAATCGTGTAAATTTTATGATCATATAATAATAATAATGCGATTATGATCATTAAACCATTATTTCTAGCTATTTGTCATCTCTTTTCAAACATATTTATTATTCACTGTCAAATAGCCATTATTTTAATGTTGCATAAGACGAGTTCTGTCAGATCTGTATTATTTGATGACTTTTCTCATTAAGTCTTTTTTATTTATTTGGATTAGAATTATTAACACTTACCTACAATTGTAGCAAATACAAATACCCCAGTTAGATATGATACAATTGTGAATGTAAGCCTAGAAACAACAAATAAGAAAATAAAGAGAAGAGATAATACATTTGTTATCACCATGTAAATTTGTTTATAATAATAAGTAAGATAATGAATAAATAATTTCTTGTACTGACATGACAACAGTACTTAGAAGTATCACATGACGTACACCTAATGAAGATGCTCATTCCATTAGTAATGAATTAAAAGTGAATGAAATATATTTTACATGCATTTTCTAGACAGATTACTGACGTTCTTCTAGAAACTTCTTATTTCAACAGGCAACAAAGTTATTAAAGTGCAAAGGATGAAACATTAAGATAAGTATAAATATACAAAAGTAACTATGAATAACATTTCACTTATATAGAATTGATTCATTCAATTCATAAACTTAATTGGAACAAAAGTGAGCCCATGAAGGTTTGTGATAAAAAAAGGAAAGACTATAAAATAATAAAGAAAATTAGACCTTTTCACAACATTTAAATGTTCGTCGTATAAACAAAATGTATTTCACACACACACACACACACACACACACAAAAAGTGTTTCCATTACAAAGAAACATGTACAATTTGATAAAAATAAGAAAACTAATAAACATACACAAATAATAATTGAGTTGAGTATATGAAAACAATTCAGGTAATAATTGATCGGTGATCTGCTTGAATATCTGGGCCACCTGTTCCTGTCATCTAGATATTTCAATAAGTTATCTGTTTTCCTGTTTGTTTCAAAACACATTATGTCTATTGAGGGTACAACCTATTCAGGTGCATTTATGGAAAGTTGACTACCTTTCGCTGTACAGGTTATAAAAAGGTACAATCAGTGACATCAATGTGGCTGGCAATATGCATTGAAACGTATTGGGATATTCGGAAAAATATACCAATAACTATCATGTTGACTCTAATGGTGACCTTGGACTTTAAATGGAAATTCCTTATTGGTCAATGTTTATTTCACTTGTTAAATATTATACAAATGTTGTTTTCTATTTCATGGTACGATACGGTTTGTTTGATTGGTATGTAAACAGAGTATGTCTGAAATATAATGATTCATATCTCAGAGGCTGAGACTTGCGTTCTGGACTCAACTGACTCGGCTAGACAGGGAAGCTGGGTCAATCGGGACTCTAGGTCGTCCTTACGTGTTTTACGTGTCATTGATCCGATCGATAAACACGCTGCGCATCTAATCTGCAGTCCGAACGTTACAACAAAACGAATGAGCATTATTCAGATGTTGATTATCGAACTGGTAACATCTAACTGGCTATCACTCAGAATCGATCAAGAAATAAGAAAAGGAAAGTTATTGAAATACATTGCTCTAGAGATTCTATATTGTACGAAAAATGTAATGTTGAATAAAGCCTGTAATAATAATAGTAAGAGTATGGAAAAAATCCTTGCAAAAATTCAGTTAATTATATCTTGGAATCTCTTTGAGGTATACCATTGAAATTATTTATGAAACTACGTGACTACATTGTAGATTATAGTAATTACCAGAAAATGTAAATGATATTTTCATTATCTTTGAAGAAACTGTTGACCAAAAATACATTCATCTTTTCTACAAACATATTCCAATCTAAAGAAAGGATTATAATACCGCTTAGTTCTCAATTGACATGAGTGGTACAGTAAATTAGAAGAATCTCAATATCAGAAACTTTATTTTCAAGTTCCTGAATAAGATTTTTTATCATTTAATCAGTAAATACATCAGTCAGCCAGTCAGCTACAACGTAGGACTAGGCACATATATACGTCGGTCCAAGTTGCCACACCTCATTAACACAAGATGAACACAGGATTTATGAAAGTAGTTAATTCAGAGGTGGTAATATATAAAAGAAAGATTTTATATAACAACATAGTACAGGAAGAAAGAACTAGTTCGTAGAAAGAAAGAAAGCTTAAAGGAAGACAGAGAGTGTATACACCTACGCCATTGTGATCGATTCTGAGCCATGTCACCCAGAGTTTCCAATCATTCGTTACGACAGTCATACGGACACCAAGCAAGTAGTTTGTATCTACCAATATGGCTAAGACTAGAAATTAGTGACTTTATAGACTGATGCCAGGTTTTGGTTTGGTCACCCCTAACTTTCTTCCAACCGTCTCCATCACTAGTCACTATTGCAAGTATATACCATCGACTATTCAGCGAAACAAATGAATTATTGATTAAAAGTTCTGACTTAAGAACAGATACTTAACATGATTCATTAATTGAAATGCGAAAACAACAAACTGTAAATCAAATTGGTAATTTGTAAATCCCTATGTTTTCTAATTTTTTTTTAAGAAAAAAATAAACAATCTTTAAAAATTTATTCAAACTTTTGTTTACCGCTTTATTTGATTAACGGTTTTCATTTGATTTACATATCTCTTGTAAATATGTATATATGTAGGTGAAATATAGACTGATATTGTATATTTTGTAATCATATTGAAAGTAGTATATTGTTTGGAAGAATATCAGATTATTTACTTAGAATAAGTTTAAGAAAATAATTCAATCTTTATTTTTACTTCTTGCTAATCACAGAAAAATACTATCAAAAATCTCTGTTTAAACAGCTTATGTATATATACTACTGAAATTCGAAACAATTTCCGAATTAAATTATTCAACACATCATTCATTGGATAAACTAATAGTTATAAGTAAAGACGGATAGTGGCTAGTAGTGAAATCTAGGACGCGCGTTTCGTCCTATTCGAGACTCGTCGGATAGATGAACCTGTATCTCAAATTTGATGTTCACTCTGGAACTCGAACCCAGTACTGTTCGTTCAAGATCCCATCGCATTATCCACTTAGCTACTGAGTCTTGATAGCCACTTACTTGTGCATCTTTGATTATAATACTTGTGAGTTAAGGCAATAATTAGGCAATATGTACAGTATGCACATATACCAATAAGAGACTGATCAATTGCAGCCCTAAACATCAACGGGAAGATTTAAGTAAACAGTACTAAGTGAATGCAGACTTTTATTTATTTATAAGAACATTGGTAAATATCTCCAGAATCAATAAAATATCTAAAACATAAATTCTATAATTCTTGATAGACAGTTCTAGATTTTAATTGTATCTTGATTTCATTATGAATAAATGTTATGTAATATTTTGAGTGAGTTGTTAGAACTATTTAACAGTGAATATATGTTTAGTATGATGTAATTAGTATATACGAAACTTGTCCAATTGTTAATTCCGCCTCCTTAATAATGATATGTAATTATTTAACATCATAAGGGGTTTTTGTGGATATTATAGTGATTTAAATAATTGAGTTTATGAGTCAATTGAAGCTGGACCACCATGGAAAACCTGGAAGCACTGGACGTTGAATTTGAAGTTAGGCGCAAACACCACTAGATGCCGGCTCAGAGGTCTAGTGGTTAGGCGCCCGTGCGCGATACCGATAGGTTTAGGGTTCGAATCTCGCGAGGTGAGGTCTTGGATCCCACAATAGGACGAAACAGCTATCCGATGATTCCAGGTTTTCCATGATGGTGTAGCTTCAATTGAGTCATGAACTCAACTATTGAAATGTAATTATTTATTAATTTTTCTGTAAAAATAAATGAAATAGATTCCTTTTATCTTAAATATTTGATCGTCGGTTTTCTTTGAGTAAAAGTGTTATTTAAGAAACTAAAATATTCCATAGAATGTTCGTAACAAACATGCTTTAATACAGTAAATTATAATGAAGAAAAAGACAACATTCATTCATGCAACAACTATAGTGTAAAGTGATGCGACATTGATAAAAACGAAAGCATATTGAGCATACCATAGATTCGACACTGAATTCTCATGATCACGAACACTAGATGGGTAGTTATAAGAGAAAAATAAATAACAGATTAAGAATAAATTTAATAATACGAGGCTTTTGTATTGGGTTGTGCCCTTCTATCTGTTGTTTAATTTTTATTTGTCTATTAACAGCTCGAGAAAGCTTAATCTGGCTCAATTTTTTTTCTGTTTGGACATTACTTGAAACCAAATATCTAGGTCAAATTAGAGTAAGCAAGAATACAAGTGGGAACAATCAAATACGTAATAACAGAATCATTTAGTAAAATCTGAGAACTATACAGTAAATAATTCATTTGCAAATTACCCATCAAATGTCTTAAACTTGACTGTTTCTTCGTTTTCACACTGATCATTCTCTGTTCTCATTCTCTTCTTTTCGATTTTTCTAATCTTCTAATGCTAGGCATTTCACTTTTCATTGGTGATACATACTACTTATATCTGTCGACTTCAGTAACGCACATCATAATATTACGCATGACCCTTTATAGTTCAACAAAACGTTTTTTGAATTTCTTAGTAATAAATGATGACGTTATTACAGTTCCTTAGATAATTGTAACCAAATTTTTTTCATTCTTTTGTCCATACAGTATGGTTACAATTAGTCAATCCTTATAAAATTGACTATTTATTACTCGCTACATGTCCATACTACAAATTAGGACTTTAGAAATTTAAGAGGACAGTTAATATATTTCTTTTGTGTAGCTTAATTTATATCTACTTCAAGTCAAATGTACTGTTGAGCTGATAACTTACCTACTCTATGCACACACACAAACGATCTATCAAAAATTATAATTACACATAATGAATAAATATTGTGATCTGAAGTTCTAACTTAGCAATGACCGAATTAATATTGTCATATAGATCTGAAAGCAATTACGAATAACAACATACTATCATTAATACCAAAGTAAGAACATAAGAGTAACATTATAAATAATGCAAACATGTACTGAATAGTGAAATCATTTAATGAAATACAATATCTTATGCAAACTTATAGTTTGTAGTGGCTTTGTTTCATTAATCAATTATCTCGATAACCGTTATCATATATATCTCAACGGTGTTTGAAATCAGAAGTCGAAGAGATAAGGCAACTATAGTTTATTAGCCGATAGCACAGATCACAAAGATA